CCAAGAAGTGAGTTGTTTAATGCTAAATGTGATTGCGAGAGATCTACAAATGATTTAAGATAAAATACAAATTAAACTCGCTAAAAAAGAGCAGCATAACAAGCAATGAATGGGTCTATCTAACCGATATGCTGTTTTCCATAATACGTTAACAAAACAAATTCCCTTGAGGATGGACCGTTGAAACCAATTACATTTTGATTATCTAGACTTAACTAAAAAGGTAAAGAAGGAAGAATCATAGATCCTCTGAACAAAGCACAATGTTAAGCGTCCAGCACGTAAGAATTAAAGTATATGTAACACAACGTTAAGGCGTAGCAGTTTGAAGAGTCTACCTTATACATATTTTGTATAAACATTCGACAGCACACGTACGGATACAGGTCAAGTCAGTCAACTAGTCTGAATTAATATGAAATCCCAAATTCATTCAAGTTCAAACTAATGGTAAAGAATTAGCCGTCTTCAAGGCGTGTTCGCAGAGTGGATAGATTAAGGTGATCTAATAAAAGAAAAAGAGTGGTTGGAATACCTTTGTGGGAGGAGTTCGAGGAGTACAGATCAGGTTCCGAGGGAGCGCTAGACTGCTGCATTGAGGCCCCAGAAACATGGCCGAATGAACATTCACTAGCCGTCCTCTGCTCCAATCCGTCGTCTAGACGTGTATATAGTGTAGTAGAAAGGGAAGCATCCGTGTATTGCTTTGATAAAGAAACATCATGCAAATCTTGAAGTAGAGTCACATCCAACGGATTGGGAGCATCAAGGGGTATTTGAAGTACTGAAGTAGAGGTATCTGAGAAGAATGTATGTTAATATTATCTGTTTAATTAGTTTGCAATCAAAAAATAATCAATGGAACATGAGTGTATAGAAATAGAACTTAGCCGACACAACACGTTAAGGGCATAATCCAGTCCAGTCTACGGTTCAACTTTGGAAATGATCATGCAGACAATGGACCTCGGACTAGGTGCGTTCCAATAAGTCTTCCTACCAAATATGACCATGTTGCGAAAACAAGATCAAACAACTTCATAAAATGGACTGAGGACAAGGTGCGTTTCCTATAAGTCTTCCTACCAATATGACCAAGTTGCGAAAACAAGGTCAAACAACTAATACAACGAAAGAATACTGCGACCACACAAAAGGCCACACCATCTTGGTCTTCATATCTTCGAGATAATTTTTTGTTTACAGTTTCCGGCGAGGCTTGTCTTATTAAATTGTTATGTTTAGTCAAAACTTACAATCCAAAAAACTATTGTCAAGATTATTTAGATGCAATATAATAAAATACAAGTATACGTCCAACAACGTTAAGGTGTAGCAGTTGGAAGGATCTACTTAATACATATTCTCATATAAACATTCTGCAGAACACGTGCGGATACAAGTCAAGTCAGTCAACTAGTCGGAATTAATATGAAATCCCAAATTCATTCAAGTTCAAACTAATGATAAAGAATTAGCCGTCTTCAAGGCGT